TTGATTTATTATACAGTAAGTTCACATCAACTGTAAGTTGGAAGTTGATAAATGAAGCAACTAGTATATAATAATAAATTCCCAATGTTTCACGCGTCGTTATAGATTATATTATAAATATAAACCTTGGGTTAAATTGTTGGGATTGATCTTAATGACGTATTACACCTGCCCACTAAGTTGAAGGTCGGTCTTATACTAAGTGTATGAGCAATTCAAATTTTAGACGTTTTTGTGTGTCACATACAAAATTCTGACATCATCAATATATTATTCCGTAATATTTACTTCAAAATTGCATTTTGATAGCAAAATATTATAGAACCAAATTCATTAACAGCAAAAATAAAGTCTTTATCTTTTATAGATAAATAATAAATAAATATGTTGGGACATTAACACACAGCGCCATCTAGTTCCATGATAAGCTACGTGGCTTGTGTTATGGATACGAGATAGTTGATACACTACACATGTATAACTTTAAATACATACATATTATAAATATAAATACCCATGACTGGAGTACAAACATTCGTTATCACACAATTGAATGCCCCCAGCGGGGCTCGAACCCGCGACCGCTGGCACAGCAAGTAGGGTCACTACAAACTGAGCCAAACGTGTCGTCAATGACTATGATAATAAATAAAATAATATAATATATAATGATATAAATAGATGTCTGATTATTTTACTTCTTAAGTTAAAATCCTAACTTACGGTGGTTTAAGCATAGCCCAGATTTAATGTTTTGTGTTATGGAACCCTCGATGTACGAACCAAACTAGCATTCGCCTTATTTTTTTTCAGCTATAGTGTACCAATTCTCTGTAAAAAAAGTTGCTATGATCTAAGCACAGACGGACAGAACTACGACGGACTTAATAATAATATACACTAATAATAAGAGTGCACACAAAAAATATTATAAAATCTCTAACAGTCTCTCTTTTATGAACCGACTTCCAAAAATGATGAGATTCTATGTTCGTCTGTATGTATATTTATGCATGTTCAGCGATTTCTCAGAGACGGCTTGACCCATTTTGCTATTTTAAACGGCATTGTATTAAAGTAGGTTCCGAGGTGGTCGCTTTTTTCTTTGACATAGAGTATACCGTTTTTGAGAAAATCAGGAAAAACCATGGTTTTTTTAAATAAAATGTTTTATTTTATTTTAAGCTTCGTATTGTTCTGTCCACCATAACCATAAAAACCATTTGTATGTAAAATAATGACAAAAAACGTATACTATGAATCAATCGGCACATCAAAGATGCACTTCACTGATCTTATTACCTTGAAATTCGTGTGAGTCAGCGTCTACAAACCCAGACAGATGTATTTGCGTGCTATTTAATTCCTGTGGTTTATATTTTTGTTCTCTTTCTAATGTGTGATAGAAGAAAAAGACAGATAGTCTTCTTCCTGGACAAAATCTTATTATAAGTTAGACTTGACGTGCTTAGAATGCTTGCGGAATAGTTTCGTAGGTATTTTATGTTTATTTTACATACATACATATTTAAACATAATTAAGCAAATATAATTTTAAAATTAAATCAATACTTAAATTTATTATTTTAAAGGTAGAGTTTAATAAAAATAACATATTACATTAGTTTTTAATTTTTATGTCTTTTTATAATAACTTAATTTGCGAAACAATTATGTAAAACCTCTTTTTAAAAGTATAAAAACACTTTAAAGACAAACATTGGATATTTCTCTACGTAAAAAAAACTTTTTAACAAAAAAATAAAAACCGACTTCAAACAAAAGCACTGAAAAGTAAAAAATAACTGATTGGTAGTTTTCATTTACTATACATACCTAATCAAATATTTTCGAAGTCGGTGTGCTTTGCTTTGTATGGGCTGGCACCGATTTCGAAAATATTTGATTAGGTATGTATAGTAAATGAAAACTACCAATCAGTTATTTTTTACTTTTCAGTGCTTTTGTTTGAAGTCGGTTTTTATTTTTTTGTTAAAAAGTTTTTATTTTTCCCTTTTTAGTGTAGACAGTAGTAGCAAAGTAAGGATTCTAACGTGTTAGGCTTGTCAAATCAAACAAAATAAGCCCAAACTCAAAGTATCTACTATTAGCCGTTGAAGAGTTCCACCTATCCACCTTCTGGCCTTGCCATCAGATCAGGTCAACAACACCGGACCACTATACTATCAACGGAAATAGAAATACTTGCAAAGTTTCAAGTCAATATGACAATTAGAAGTAGGTTAAATTCATCATTAGTTGTTTTTCCACCCTTAGGGGTGGTATTTTTTTTTTTGAAATTTAAATGGGACCAATCTGGAAGTATACCCTTTCAAACAAAACAAAAATTGTCCAAATCGGTTAATAAATGACGGAGTTCTGAGGTAACAAACATAAAAAAAAAAAAAAAAAAAAAAACATACAGTCGAATTGAGAACCTCCTCCTTTTTGAAGTCGGTTGAAAATAGGTGTTATTTTAATTTTTTCTACTTATTATAGTGGCATAATTATTAGATGGTCTCTTAAATTTTTACATTAAAAAAAATAAACTTGCATCATTATATACTGTTACTAGTTAGTACTAAATAAAGCAGTGACTCGGTCGATTGAAGCTCAATTTGAACCATCAGAAAATGCTATTACATTAACACGCAATAGTAAAAAATGAGACCTACTTTTATAATATTCTGAGAAACTTTTCAACTTTAATGAAAGTTAATAATGGTTAGAAAAAATATTTGATTTGACTTTAAAATGCAGGAAACTACTCGTATTACCAATTTATGTGTTATAAATTATAATCTATACCTATTACTTACTAATATTATAAAAAGGCAGATTTTTTTTGTTTGTTTGAATGTGTTCATCTCAGGAACTACCAATCCGATTTGAGAAATTATTTTTGCATTTAGATAGCCCATTTATTGAGAAAGGCTATAGGTTATATCATCATGCTACCCAAAGGAGCGGAGCAGTAATCATAAATGTCAAAAAATCGAGCTGACTTCCATACTTGTTGTAAAACTAATGTCTAAAACGGAAGTTTTAACGCGGGCGAAGCCGCGGGTACTGCTTGTAATAGTATAAATACAATAATAAAACAAATGAAATATTTTAGTGTAGATTTTTAAAATATGTATTTCTAAGTATAGGTACTTATCTATACTAATATTATAAAGAGGTGAAGTTTGTAAGTTTTTGAGGTTGTGAGTTTGTGACGTTGTAGGGGGTAAACTCTGGATCTACTGAACCGATTTAGATGAAATTTGGTAAGAAGATAATTTGAGAACCTGGGAAGGACATAGGACACTTTTTATGCCGGAAATCATTCCTTAAAGAGGTGAAAACGGGGATGAAAGAAATCATAATATCCCTATATCATAAGCCAATTCATTTTTTTTTATTAAAATCGCTATAACCACAGCTATCCCATAAAAAGTTAAACAATAACCCGTTAGATTAAAAAACATATTTTGTTTTAGCTTGGTTTTGAAGTCACACATTCACAGAAGAAATATTTCGAGATATAAAATATTCATATAAGATTTTTAAACTAAAGTCAGTGCCTGATTCGTAACATTTATGAAACAAAAACCAGAAATTTTAAATACAACGTTATTATAGTTATTTGTTAAGTTTGAAAGTATAAAAATTAACATAATTATTTTATAATAAAAATATCAAAAGAATCGTATGAAATATATATAATCGTATTATAAAATACAAAAAGTATTTTAAATTTTGTACAAATTATATATATTTTAACAAAATTAATTTTTAATTGTTTATTGCAATTGATTGAGAAAGGTATATTAAAATGTTTATTACAGTTAATATATAATTGTTTTTCCCGTATGATAATAACAACATATTACAGTATAGTAATAAATGTTATGGCCTGTTTAGAAAGTGTGTGGTATAATTATTGAATTTTAGCACACACACTTAACTATTCATTCTACTAATATTATAAATGCGAAAGTTTGTGAGGTTGTCTGGACGTATAGATGTATGTCTGTGTGTTATTTTTTTAGTTAAAAAACTACTGAATGGATTATAATGAAACTTTACTATAATATAGCTCATACATCAGAATAATACGCAGGCTACTTTTTATCCCGGAAAATGTACGGTTCCCGTGGGATAGATTTGTTTTTGCTTTTCTAGAAGCGAAATCGAACGAAGCGAGCCGCTATTTATATATATAAAAAGGTCTGAATACACATTATGTATATATATATGTATACATTTAGTACATTTTAAAGGTCACTTTCAAATTGCCTATTTAACGTCCCACTGGGCAGAGGCCTCCTTTTAATACAAGGGGGATCAGGTCATAGTCCACCACAAAACGCAGGCGAAATGCGGGTTGACAGACTTATCATTCGAAAACTACTAACTTACTTAGACCTCCAGGTTTTCTCACATTAGTTTCCTTCACCGTTAGGCAAGTAACGATAATCATGTTAAAAATGATTCGCATATGGAAGTATTATAGATACGAGACACGGGATTTGAACCAAAACCTGGTTTCTCAAGCGAACGCTTTACCACTGAGCTGCTACTGCCTTATCGTTTGCTTTTTTATTTCTAAAGGATTCTTGTCCTCATAAAAGTTAATGTGTACCAAACAATAAAAATAACCCATTGCTATATAAAGCTTAGTCATTACACTGAAATCAGTCCCTACTATAATTTTTACACAATCGCACAAGGGAGGAGCAAGTATGTAGGTGTATTTTTATTAGTGAAATTAATTATTATTATTATTAACAATTTATAATATCAGATTGAAAAATTCGCCTGAGAATATCAACAGAAAGGTCAAAAAAGGAAAGCGAGCCGCGAGCGTTTAAACAACGACGTAATGCAAAATTTTGTTTACAAGGAATCAGTTACTTAACAAAATGATAAATCAAACCGACCTCTATTAAACTTTGGACCCTGTAATTGGGGCTATAAAAACTTATTTCGCTTAAGTGGTATTGATTGGTACGCTAATGTTTAAAAAACGATTAACAACTTATAAACAGTATGAAGACTTCGGTGCGTGCGCAGTCAATCTTCCTACAGTGTCATTTGTCTCTAGTTAAATTTGTTGTACAGTTGCAACGAGAAATCTCGGAATTCCATTTTTTTTTCCATCGCAATTTAATTACTACGTGCGAAGACGTATAAGTAACTGATCGTTTAATTTTATTTATAAAGCTCAGTATCTCTTGCTGGTCTCCCAGACCGATAAATCAGATTTAATTAAATTCATCTAAAGGCTCGCAGATTCTAGAAATAAATTACAAATATTTTTAGTTATAATTAACTTGCACAACCTCAACTCACCTACATTTAATTCAACGTGTTCATTTGTATGTAATTCCTTGTACTACATTCTCGGTTTAAATGAATTGTGTAATTATACGCAAGGCAACGACAAGGATAATGGTTTGAATATATTTCTTTATAAATACAACTAGTCTTCACCACAGAACAATTATTTCAATTTTTATAACTGACATTTTTGTTTCAGATTTGGCGGCGCTACGGCAGCTTTTAGAGAACGAGACGGGTGGAACAAATTGTCCAAGTTGTAACATGCCATTTGACAAGGGCAAAAAGAGAAAGTTAATCGATACATGCGGACATGAACGGTGCTACTCCTGCATGTTTAGGAACGAAGCGTGCCCTATCTGTGCCAGGAAAAGCCAAGGACGACGACAAGTCATGGAACGGTATACACCATCTCCTCAACGTCAAGACCAAGAGTGGCAGTCACCATCTCGGCTACCCAAACCCCCAAAGCAGGCCAGCCTCGCTCAAAGCTGTCCAACACCCCCTCATACCAGGAGAAGATTCTTTCTAAGTCCCAAATCTCTAAGGAGTCCCTTCGGGCAACGCAGTCGTCATTCACATGAAAATCACGTACCCTTGTCTGGTAAGTGTTATCACACGCCATCTTTTAATTTGCATAGCTGTGGGACCGCGGCCTCCGGTTGATTGCGTAACCGCAATGCACTTTACACGCAAATACTTCAATTTTCATTCACCACTCACTCTCCAGACTTGGAGGATAGTTATAGTGACAACGATGCCCACGCGTCTCCGCCGGATGTACGTAGGTACAAAGGACCGGTTGTTGAACGCATTTATTAGTTCGCAGACTTTTGCAATGCTACCCGCGCAGACAGCGGGCCGCGTGCGTTATCTAGATATCTATCAGTATATTCGATTTCCATTAATTACATCATTCCTGTCCCTTCGAAATATAAAGCGGTTATCACAGCTGCATTACCAAATAAATTATGGCTGCACTGCAACACTTGATCGCTACTGGTCAATGTATCTATTCGGAAATAACGTCGTTCTTTACGATTCGACAGTTGATTTCCGTCATTGTCATTGATATAAATAGTCTTGGAACGATAAATTCGATAGATTTGTAGATTTAGGCGTTATTTTGATATATTTTAACAGGATTGCCGGAGGAGGGTCCCAGGACTGCGGCGTGGCCAAGTGTCGTGTTCAATAAAATAAGATCACTGTGGTCTGCTCATTCCTCCGTTCCACACGGACTCAACTTGGCAGGCACGGCATATCATAATCTTTGAAGGAATGTTGGTCGAAAACTTTTTGATTTATTGAACCATGAACATCACTAAAAGTAATAAATAATTTAACATAAACAAACGTAGGTCAACCAGTCGAATGAAATAAAAAACTTGTGTAACAAAGATATTGTACTCGAAGATTGATAACTTAGACATCTATATACATTGAATAAGATATACAATAAAGTCAGACGTTTCAAGGTTCTAAATCTGGTCTAAACAAATACCTCAGTCGGTATTCGATCCACATTCCTCCGAGCCCGATCGGGCACGGTCGCTCGATTTTTGCACATCTTTTTGCCTGTTTGCATTGCGTCGGTTATTTGATGCACAGCTTTTTTTTTATCAAAACCAGTTTTATTTAGTTTACTTATATGTTTAATTTGAGTGGTTTTTGTGCTTGTAATCTTTATATCATCGAATGTTAATTTTCATCGTAACGGTTAACGAATCCATATACTCATAATTGCTAATCAATAGTTCTGTTAAATGAATAGGCAATTTTAACATTTGCCTGTCAGGTCGGAAAGTTAAGCCTTTGGTTGTTCCATGACTAGAGGTTTCATAATTGAGCTTGAGATGTGGACATGGCAAATAATAGAGATAAACTGTCGACGACAAAAATAAGATATCCCATGCTTACAGTTGATCAGATAACATGCGTGTATAATTGATTAAAAGAAATTTTAAGTAAGTTAACAATACTTTAGAATCGTGTGTCCTTATAACGTTTTCTACTACATTACTTGGCACACTATTTACTTTTCAAATACTTCCATAATTCCAGGATATATACACGGTCATTTTTAATCTGCTGAAAACCTTTTGGGACTATACTATTTACATCATAACAACAACATCTGTAAGAAGAAAAAATTATATTTCTTAAATTTTTATTTTGATACAAAAATAAAAATATTTTTATTGCACCTTCTAAACAGAAAAGTTCTAGCATCTAGCCAAGTTTAAATGTGTAAGGGCCGCTTTCTACACCCCTCCACCCCTCCTTCTCCACCGGTCACGCGCTTTCCTTTGCTAATGCTGGACTATTAACGTTTAGAAGGAGCAATAAAAATATTTTTTTTTGTAAAATTTAAGAAATATTTTTTTTTTTTACAGATGTCATTGTTATAATGTAAACAGTATATTCGAAAAAGGATTTCAGTAAATTAAAAATGACCCTGTATTAATGGAATACTCATAAATCCATAAAAATATTACAATAATCTAAAGTTTAATTAATTTTAGAACACATATGTACGTCAGGAACTAAATTGAGAAACAATAGTCTCTTCTAATTCGCTTCGAACGCTAATGTTTGTATATAAAACTAAACCAAATACCAATTTATAACAAATAAATAAAACAACATGTCCCGATTCTGATTAATTATTAAAAACCCAGACCATACTAGCTTATTAGAGATGAAATTAATGAAAGGCAAAAAATTTTACAGTAAGTACATTTCAAAATTACATGAATAACTAAGAAATTTTTCAAATTCAATCCCTATTCGAGTGTTAAAGGATTGTCAATATTTATAAAGACACTTTTTTTCTTAAGTAAAAAATTCGGACATTTAGTAACAATATCAGTATTTTCTGAAACACCAAAGAGGCATAACCGACGTAGAACTATTTACATCACAAATAGGTACATATAAATATTATATTCGTACCTATGCTTGGGAAATGATGGCGAAACTTGATTGTAAAACTCCCATGACAATTTTGAATAATGCGTGCATTACCGGCAGCCTTTACGGTTACGTTAACAAGTTTATCGCTATGTACATCGTTCCATTCGAGGGTATTACACTTAGTGCTAGTTTCCTTTCTAAATCCTTTTACAACCCGGTCTTAGCATATAATGTTTGTTTATTCTATACAAGGCTTCATCTGGACGCTATGAATGTTCTATTTAAAAACTAATTATGTAATCTACGGTGGGGCTTTTTGTTTTATGATCGATTTCATAAAAGAGGAGAAAGTTCCGGTAGAAATGATTTTTATATAAAATTCAAGAAGCCACTTCCGGTTAAATAAATAATTAATTTTAAAGTGATAGTGAGTAAATGGGGTGTTTTGGTTAAAACGTAATAATAAAACTATCTCAACATCCATTCATTATTTCCTGAAAGAATTTATATTCGATAAAATAAACATAACAGCTTATTCGCATTTACAATATATTACTTGTAATTACATTATATGAAACAGTAATAGCAATGAATATTGGTACCTAATAAAACCTTCAGTACTAGTAAACAATTCGCGTATTTAATCGTTCAATCAGTCTCGGTATTTAATCCGACGTGATCTGACAAATTGTCGGTCAATAGCGCAGTGGGCGAGGGTGTGGGTTTTGTTATATCAAGGTGAAAGACGCCTTCAATCCGATATTGTCAAGTGACGAAATTAAAGCTTAATCATATCCTTGTAGGACAAATGCATGAGATAACGTGATGAGTAATATTGTAAAAGTTCTTTTTTTTGGATGATTACCGTAGGTGGTTACATGGCTGCTTACTAATATGAAAGGGTAATTTTGAATAATCTATACAGATAAATAAAACTGAAGTGTCTGTTTATAATGTCAAAATAACAGCTTTTTACTAAATGCATATGAAATTATATACGGTACTTATAAGAAAAACTCAATTTTAATATTTTTTTGTCTGACTAAAACGGCTGGACTGATTTTGACGGGGCTCTCTTTGACAGATAGCTGATTTTATAAGAATTAACTTAGGTTATTTTTATTTTAGAAAAAGAATTAGGGTTCCGCTCAAAAAAAACTAGGTACGTTTTAAACTAGGGACGCATCCGATCGAAGCCAGGGTAACTCACTAGTTCCAAATAAATTAAAGATAATGAGTCCAAAGTATCTAATTTGAGAGTTAGTTAAGATAAAAATAAGTTATTTTTATGTTTTTTTATTATTATACACTTTACAGCACTTTCCGTATCTTATTTTCTTACACACTTCTCGAAAGACACTTTCAAGTAACACCTTGGTATATGTAAACTATAAAATTATAACTTCTAATATCCATAAAGAGTAGATGCAGTATTACTTAACTAACGTAATAATTTTCGATATCTCAAGTGTTAATACGTACGTCAATAGATACGGGATAGAGTCAATGGGAAAAGTCATGGGGTCAGAGAATAATAGCGGATATAAGGAGATGGCTTGTAATATAATGGTATAGTAAATGCATAAGCGAGCGGAAATATTTTTGATTTCGACTGTATGTATAATGATCTGACTTGAAGCTTTTATGGAGCTTATTAAATCGCTTATTTAGATTTTAATGGAAGTGTGTTTAATGTGGACTTAATTCGTATAAAAGTACTTTTAGAATATATATATATTTATATATATATATATATATATACATATATATATGTGAAAAACAAATCTATCCCACGGAAACCATACATTTACATAAATTTATACAAAACGTGCTATTCCAGACTATAATCTATCTCTGTGTCAAATTTCATCCAGATCCGTTCATAATTCAAGCAACACCTACCTTATAAAATTTACCACTAGCAGTATCATCACTTTTACTTCAAGTCATCTTTGTACTTAGTTTATCTAAATCTGACCAGACACTTTGCGTGCAGGATTCCTTTTAGAATTTCTTTATCGCAACATGCACATAACCATTTTTTATATACATTTTTATAATTAAAAATTCCCGCTTTCGCTTGTAACATAATCTCTCAGTTATCTCTCGTTGATCATTATGAAACATTTCTTTTAGCCACAAGTGTCACGTCAACTTACAGACGTGACGGGACCCCGTAACCCGTGAAATTTAAGTGGTCATATATCGTACGAACCCTTTATTGATGCATGAAACTGATATTAACGAAAATTGAGTTGATTAAAAGTATATTTATTTATTCACTTTACTGAACATGAGGTTTTATGCTAATTATACTAATAAGCCTTCTCATCCAGTGTTAAACAGCGATAATATATAAATTTGTTGTTTTATAACATCGCTCCTAAGAATTGAAAGGTTTATAGGTTATAACAAATGGACAAACAAATCGACGTAGACATGCGTGTTTCACCCGAATTTTTGCGTAGTAAAAACACAAAAAATTCGCTTAGAAAATCTGAATGATGAATATGAGCATTTTGAAATACCTACCTGTATTATAACATGTTATAATAACAAAAATATTTTTTTTCAAAGCTATCATTTTGAAATATTACCATAAATTATAACAATACAAGCACAAAGAATGTAAACGGCTCTCAGAATAACAAATCTGCCCCATTTAAATGACAGATGCATATACCATCGCAGTACTTTCTATGACCTTTAAAAACAATGGGTCTCGTCAAGCGTATCGAAGAGAACCTTGACAGTGCCCGTCCGTCCACAACACGGTATAATTGGTAAAATGACGCCTCAATACCAAACCAACCAAGGTTAATAAGCTAGTATTAAATACATTTATTTTGAAATTTGATACAACTTTAAAATTATATCTACATAAAGAAGTAAACTATTTCAGATCAAAAATAACAACTAGAAGTCTTCTTTCTCTTTAGCACTAACCAGCGTGATATCCTTCCCGAACATTTGACAATATCAAGCCATTATTATAAATACAAAATGTTGTATGTATGTTTATTTGCTACTCCTTCAGCTTAAAACGTCTTAACCAATTTAGATAAAGTTCAGTCACGGATAAGCTTTTGCTGCTAATAATATTTGCCAAAAGCTAACGCGGCCTCTATATAATATTATATACACATACATCCATACTAATATTATAAATTTGAGAGTGTGTTTGTTTGTCTTTCTTTCACGTCGAAACAAAGTGACGGATTGGCGTGATTTTTTGTGTAGAGATAGTTGGAGGGCTGGAGAGTGACATAGGCTACTTTTTATCGCCGGAAATATTCTCACTCCCACGGGAAAACACGTTATAATAAAACCAAAAAAAA